GAAAATTTTGGTTTCATACGGCACGACGAAGAAGTTTAGTTCCGTTCGAACATTACAATGAAAAAAATTGAAAATATACATTAAAAATGCATAAAAGTTTTTGCGTATTATTATTTTATCAAATACAAAGAACTTACAATAATTATAATAATACTAATATTATGTTATATCAATATATAGATATATAGGAGACCAAGCAACTCTATATAAAGCCGTTGATTTTAATGAGGGCAGCATCAATCTAGTTAGTCTATAATTAAGCAACGAGTTTAGGAACAAGTGTCCGACAGAGACCGGTTAACTCTCCGGCCCCGCGTCCAGAGATGGGCTGGACAGAGACCGGTTAACTCTCCGGCCCCGCGTCCAGAGATGGGCTGGACCGAGCCCCTGCGTAGGGCTGCGGTCCCTCCTACGCATCGTCGTCGTTTTTTTTAATAAAAATCTTTGCGCTTTGAATGGATGTCTTGATGAACGACGTATAAGGTTATCACTCGTCTTCTATCGCTGTAAATTTGACAGATTGTTATATAATTCTATTATATGACAATTATATATGCGAAATGCTTCTTTATGCCGTGGCATAAACCCCTATAAGCAATGGCATTCTTTAATACTGTAAATTATATCTTTGGGATTTTATACTGTCTAGTTCCATGTGATGAGGAACACTCCAGTATGCTGGATAATATTCCATTATATTCCAGATGATATATTCCTGTAGAATAATGAAAATTTTGGTCGATATGACTGCATGATTTTTATTTAAAAATCATGCACTGTACTTCAACCGAGGTTACTCCACCGAAGTCGGAGTAATAAAATAAAAACACTAAAAACAAATGAAACTTTGAGCAGTCGCTCTGAAATATGTCTGTACGTAAAGACATGTTATGCTCTTAAATATGTCTGTACGTAAAGACATGCAATGCTCTGAAATATGTCTGTACGTGAAGACATGTATTGTTTCTGAACGCGGTGATATGCTGTCAGTTGCTCAGCTCATGTGAATATATTTCACATTTCTGTGACTTTCCTTTCGTTCTGGTGAGCTATCATTTCTTTTTACATCATAAAAAAAATTCTAAAATATAACCGCTTGTTAGGGAAAATTTGTGAGGAATCTAAAAATTTTGCACAGTTTATATTTATTGTGATAAATTTTCTTTATATTTCATAATATTGAAGTTAATTACAATAAATTACATGTAAATTATACGTTCAATATTACTGGATATTACGGCTCCTGGCACAGTCATACGCATTGAGGCCAAATTCTTTATGCTGGAGCAAATTTCTACGTGTTGATGAATGATTAAATGTTGATAAATATGTCCAATATGTCCAGCGATATTCAACGGTGCGAGGAATGTCATGAGCTAGCATGATAACATCTTATTGAGTCGTAACTTTAACCTTAGCTCTGTTGTGCAGTTCAAGTATCCTGCCCAATCCTATCCTTTTTATTTTTTACTTACGTTATTTATTTAGTATCCTGGACAACTGAGAGAAATAAGTGAGGCTTTATACAATTAATGAAGCTATGTTTACATTTGTGTAGATCATCTCGACCCTATATGACACGTTGAAAAAGGTTTATCCGTGAAACTTCTACATAATATATCACTATTTTTACAATATTACCCATTTATTTCTTTGATTGCTTCCTCTGTGAAGGGTCCCAGTTTTGATGGGTCCACGCACATCGACCCTAAAAAAATGTAGTCCGAAGGAGGTTAGGAAAAAATGTTGTGCTAACCTCCTATGAAGGAGGTTAGCACAAGCGGTGGTTTCCAGATTCCAAGTTTTTCGATCATATAAATATATTATAAAGCTTCCCAATATGTTCGCTGCCTCATACCTACTACAGCGTGTAGTGGCCAGACCATTATAATGCAGCCGCGACACGACCATTATACTTCGACCTGACAAGCAGGTTGCTACTCATCAATGTCTTGGCCGTCCGAGTGCATGCATGTATAAAGATGATTCATCCTAACTTCTTTACCAACTATACATATTACTATACTAACAATAACTGTTAACTATAACTGTATAACTATACTATACATATTATTATACTAACAATAGGTGTTAACTATAACTGTATACTATACTATACATATTCTATACAACTTTAAGTCGCTGAAATGCATGTTACGCTTTCGGAACCACTCATTTATAGCACAGAAGTTCCTCAGTAATCTACGCGTTCAAGCCTATCCATTTTAAAACACATAAATCCCTCAGTAATATTTTGCACACTTCAACAGTACACTTTTATCGTCCGCAAATGACGAACTGGAGCAGATGTTGCAGCTGGTGCGTCAGCTGGAGCAGATGTTGCAGCTGGTGCGTCAGCTGGAGCAGATGTTGCAGATGTTGCAGCCCAGTTAACTCTGGACGCGACTAGCCTAGCGATGTTCTCCTCGATCTCTGCTCGCTTGCATCGCGCGCTCCGCTGAGAACCTTAAATCATTTCGACGCTCGTGCTTATTACTCTTATTATTGTTACGTACGTATTTAGTTTTGGTGCCTCAGTGTGATACTGGTGCCTCAGTGTGATACTGATGCCTCAGTGTGATAATGGTGCCTCAGTGTGATACTGGTGCCTCATTGTGATACTGGTGCCTCAGTGTGATACTGGTGCCTCAGTGTGATACTGGTGCCTCAGTGTGCTGCTAATGCCTCAGTGTGATACTGGTGCCTCAGTGTGATACTGGTGCCTCAGTGTGCTTTTCCACACCTAATACTGGTTAAAAGTTGGACACTTCTCAAAGTTAATGAAATACAGTTTTAATCTCTCACAGCTATAACAGTGATTATAATAATGATCTCACAGTTACTGCAGTTTAAAACAGGTGTAGTTCAGCTACCGGCCGTTGATATGACTGCACTCAATTAAATACCTTAAAAATGTCCTCTCATTTATTAAGCCATTTATTATTATTTTTTCAATTATCTATTAAGTTCTTATTCATTTTGTTTCTTTATAGTTCATTATTTGTTAAAGACCAGCGGCGACTTAAGAACTGTGGCGAGGTGCAGTTGCTGCAGCTGGTGCAGTTGCTGCAGCTGGTGCAGTTGCTGCAGCTGGTGCAGTTGCTGCAGCTGGTGCAGTTGCTGCAGCTGGTGCGCGCTCTCCGCTGAGAACCTGAAATCCTTTCGACGTTCGTGCTTATTAATTTTGTTATTTTCACGTACGTATTTATTTTTGGTGCCTCAGTGTGATACTGGTGCCTCAATGTGATACTGGTGCCTCAGTGTACTTTTCCACACGTAATACTGTTTAAAGGTTGGAACAGTTCTCAAAGTTACTGAAATACAGTTAAAATCTCTGAAAGCTATAACAGTGATTATATAATAATGATCTCACAGTTACTGCAGTTTAAAACAGGTGCAGTGCAGCTACCGGCCGTTGATGTGGCTGCACTCAATTAAATACCTTAAAAATGTCCTCTCATTTATTAAGCCATTTATTATTATTTTTTCAATTATCTATTAAGTTCTTATTCATTTTGTTTCTTTATAGTTCATTATTTGTTAAAGACCAGCGGCGACTTAAGAACTGTGGCGGCTTAAGAACTGTGGCGAGTTAAGAACTGTGGCGACGTTAGAACTGTGGCGACTTAAGAACTGTGGCGACTTAAGAACTGTGGAGACTTGAGAACTGCGGCGACTTAAGAACTGTAACGACTTAAGAACTGTGGCGATTTAACAACTGTGGCGACTTGAGAACTGTGGTGAATTTAAGAACTGTGACGACTTGAGAACTGTGGTGAATTTAAGAACTGTGACGACTTGAGAACTGTGGCGACTTAAGAACTGTGGCGACTTAAGAACTGTGGAGAGTTAAGAACTGTGGAGAGTTAAGAACTGTGGCGAGTTGAGAACTATGGAGACTTAAGAACTGTGGAGACTTAAGAACTGTGGCGACTTAAGAACTGTGGCGAGTTAAGAACTGTGGCGACTTAAGAACTGTGGCGACTTAAGAACTGTGGCGAGTTAAGAACTGCGGCGACTTAAGAACTGCGGCGACTTAAGAACTGTGGCGACTTAAGAACTGTGGCGACGTAAGAACTGTGGAGAGTTATGAACTGTGGAGAGTTAAGAACTGTGGAGAGTTAAGAACTGTGGCGAGTTAAGAACTGTGGAGAGTTAAGAACTGTGGAGAGTTAAGAACTGTGGCGAGTTAAGAACTGTGGCGAGTTAAGAACTGTGGCGAGTTAAGAACTGTTGTGTTGTTAACGGTAAAAGAATTCCAGTTCACCCACGCATCCTCCACAGAAGACGCGCGCGGGAATTAAATTTAATAAAAATCCTTTGAATAAATCTTAGCCGAATGTTGGTCGTATTATCAGCGGCCGTACTCTGGCCGCCGATAACCCAGCCATGATGCCGAGGTTGCCTGTAAACCAGCATTCGTATTCGTAGTCACGCGCGCATGTGACGAAAATATCTGAGTCTTGAAGCTGAGACACTTTTTGAAAAGCAATCCTGACCTATTCGAACCAAATATATTTAATTCATTCTTAAATATATTGCTCGGGAATGTTAAGTGATTAAATCTAGGTTAAATCATGTTTAAATTAAGCATGATAATTGTTCACTGCAATGGCTGACCTCAAACGCGAGAGTATAACAAGCTTTTTATACTGAAAATGAAATATTATTTGTTGTTTGAATTGAAATTTATAAAAAATTAGAAAATGCAAGAAATTATTTATTATTAATTTGTGAGATACGTGAAATACGTGATGAAAATTGAGTTGAATTGTAGAAAATTTACCTAAAGTTAATAGGTCAATTAATTAGTTAGTTAATAGGACGGACTCATAATATCAAAGTGGTTATTATAAATCACGTTGAAAAAATGTGGTATAACTTCGTTGTGACTGAGAACACAGGTCTTACGTAGCTCAGCTTACCTTTCTTCTAGGAAGCCAGGATTGCTGTACCGCAGTCAACTCAAAATTAGAACAAAATGTTCAGTGTGGCTCCTGCCGCTGTGCTGTGAGGGTGTGTGTAGCTCGTGTCCCAACTCGCCCGCTTCTCGGGTCCTCCGAGCGATTTACTTTAAAACAAAACTAATTATAGTGAAATATTTTATGTACAGCCGTTAAGTAGATGACTTATTAGTCAATCTAGTGTCAAGTGTATGCATGGTTCAGGCTGAGGTGTTTCATACATAGGATCTGAAGTAAGGGCTATCGGATTAGGATCCAAGACACGAAGAGAATCCTGTTCAGAAATTCCAGCGCATCCTCGATAAGTGAGTTACTATTTTTATTATTCGTTCTACTGACGTCAATTACTCTCCATATTGTCTAGAAATTTCGATTGTTCGTACCATATTTCCTTATACACAATGAGATCACAGCGTCAATATAATTGTAAATAATATATAAGCAATAGGACAATATTGATTCTAAAGCCTGTTTTCTACAGCCGGGCAACTGCGGGATTTTTTTTTCGTGAACATAGAAAGATATTTTTTCTATGTATTTTATGTTTGAAGCTTTAGCAAGATATTTTTTCAAGAAATTTTTATATATGAAGCTTGACGTCATTTTTCGTGAACAAACACAATACATTTTTTATATATTTTTATATATGAAGCTTGACGTCTTTTTTCGTGAACATAGCAAGATATTTTTTTCAATATATTTTATATTTGAAGCTTGACGTCTTTTTTCGTGAACATAGCAAGATATTTTTTTCAATATATTTTATATTTGAAGCTTGACGTCTTTTTTCGTGAACATAGCAAGATATTTTTTTCAATATATTTTATATTTGAAGCTTGACGTCTTTTTTCGTGAACATAGCAAGATATTTTTTTCAATATATTTTATATTTGAAGCTTGACGTCTTTTTTCGTGAACATAGCAAGATATTTTTTTCAATATATTTTATATTTGAAGCTTGACGTCTTTTTTCGTGAACATAGCAAGATATTTTTTTCAATATATTTTATATTTGAAGCTTGACGTCTTTTTTCGTGAACATAGCAAGATATTTTTTTCAATATATTTTATATTTGAAGCTTGACGTCTTTTTTCGTGAACATAGCAAGATATTTTTTTCAATATATTTTATATTTGAAGCTTGACGTCTTTTTTCGTGAACATAGCAAGATATTTTTTTCAATATATTTTATATTTGAAGCTTGACGTCTTTTTTCGTGAACATAGCAAGATNTCAATTAATCAATAAACTCAATCAATTAACCAATAAATTCAATCAATTAATCAATAAAGTCAATCAATTAATCAATACAGTCAATCAATTAATCAATAAAGTCAATTAACTATGATACACTGTATATGTGTCACAATAATAATATTTTCAGGAGCAACAATAACACCAACGACAATAAAAACAGCAGAGGTTTAAGAAAAATTGCATTTTGTGTTATTTACATCAAAAATCGTAATAAAATAATAATCAAGCCTACCACTACATAAGCATTAATAACCTAAATATAGATCATTTATATGGCAACAGCAACCGTTATAATAGCAAACAACATCAAAAGCAGGACTAGCAGCTGTAGTAGCATGGCAGAACAAGCAACAGCAGCAACAAATAACAGCTATAACAGCATCATACAGTAGCAACAAATAACAGCTATAATAGCATCATACAGTAGCAACAAATAACAGCTATAACAGCATCATACAGTAGCAAGAAATAACAGCTGTAACAGCATCACACAGTAGCAACAAACAACAGCTATAATAGCATCATACAGTAGCAAGAAATAACAGCTATAATAGCATCATACAGTAGCAACAAATAACAGCTATAACAGCATCATACAGTAGCAAGAAATAACAGCTGTAACAGCATCATACAGTAGCAACAAACAACAGCTATAATAGCATCATACAGTAGCAACAAATAACAGCTATAATAGCATCATACAGTAGCAACAAATAACAGCTATAACAGCACCATACAGTAGCAAGAAATAACAGCTATAATAGCATCATACACTAGCAACAAATAACAGCTATAATAGCATCATACAGTAGCAACAAATAACAGCTATAACAGCATCATACAGTATCAACAAATAGCAGCTATAACAGCACCACGTTGACTGCACCAACAGCGGCACCAACAAACAACAGGAAGAGATTCCTCAGGCCAATTGATGCTCTCAACAAACGCTAGTTGCTGTTGTTGCTGACATTTTGTTGTTTCCAGCAACAATGTTGTTCTTCGTACTGCTGTTGTTGCTGACATTTTGTTGTTTCCAACAATAATGTTGTTCTTCGTGCTGCTGTTGTTGCTGACATTTTGTTGTTTCCAGCAATAATGTTGTTCTTCGCACTGCTGTTGTTGCTGACATTTTGTTGTTACCAGTTATAATGTTGTTCTTCGTACTGCTGTTGTTGTGCTGGTGTCGTCTGATGTTGTTCTTCGTGCTGTTGTTGTTGTTCTGGTGTCGTCTGATGTTGTTCTTCGTGCTGCTGTTGTTGTGCTGGTGTCGTCTGATGTTGTTCTTCGTGCTGCTGTTGTTGCTGACATTTTGTTGTTACCAGTTATAATGTTGTTCTTCGTACTGCTGTTGTTGTGCTGGTGTCGTCTGATGTTGTTCTTCGTGCTGTTGTTGTTGTTCTGGTGTCGTCTGATGTTGTTCTTCGTGCTGCTGTTGTTGTGCTGGTGTCGTCTGATGTTGTTCTTCGTGCTGTTGTTGTTGTTCTGGTGTCGTCTGATGTTGTTCTTCATGCTGCTGTTGTTGTGCTGGTGTCGTCTGATGTTGTTCTTCGTGCTTCTGTTGTTGTTCTAGTCTCTTCAGCACTGCTGTTATTGTTATACCTTATTAATGTATCCCGAAAAGTCGTAGTGCAAATAAAATTATGTTTTGGTCCAATAGGCATAAGAAAATATTATCAAAAATACTCTCTTTTCAAATTTTCTTATAACTTAATGTCAATTACAAACTGTAAAGGCAAATTGGTTGTAATAGGGTAAAATATGCATAAATTTATTTCTAATTTTTAAACATAGATTTTAAATGAGCTATAATAGAGGAAATAAATAGACGCGAACAAGTAAAAGGTGCAAGAAAATGGGATGCGATTTATTCGTGCGGTACATATTAAATATGGTGTAAATAGGGTGAAATGTGCGTTTAAATGGGCTGTAACTGATGAATGATGAGAACCAATTTGTTGGAAATGGGCGAACAGGACTGAAAAATGGAGAAGCAATCGAGACTAATTTTTTTACATAAAAATAACCACAGTATTTTGATCAATATAATTTAAGTTGCAATCAACAGCGCTATGGCAACGGCGATGTTTTCAGAATTTGGTAAACAATTTATATTACTCTATTTGTTTTATATTTATACTAGGTTAGAGATATATACAAAGGTATACATGTATGTACACATATACTGGTATTAGTATAGGTTGGAAAAATATGTTCTTTTAAGCAGATTTCATTGAAGACCAGAGAATTCGTTTTATTGATACTTTTTTCTAATTTTCCAATAAGAAAATTGTCAATAAAACGAATTCTCTGGTCTTCAATGAAACCTGCCTAAAATATACTGATATGTACATACTGTATATACAGTTAAATACAGGAAAATACGAGGACGACTTAGCAAGGCTTAACACTTGCCACAGGCATTCAACGTTGAAATAAATTTCTTATTTCAACTTTGAACGAAGTTTTTGGTTCGACCAAATCCGTTCGTAATCAACGTTGTTTGAATGTCGCTGGAATGTAGCGAGGATTACTAGAACTTAACCGACGAAGTGATCAATAGAACTTTTGACATGCACTCGCTTTTATTAATACATCAAATGATTATGTTATGGTATGGATGATCATTGCTGTTACTTCTGATGCGAAGCAGGGTATTAGTAATACCCATTCATAATACCCATTCGCAATATCCATTCGTAATACCATTCGTAATACCATTCGTGATACACATTCGTAGTACCCATTCGCGATACCCATTCGTCATACCCATCTGCCCCACTAACAACACAAGACACACATGCACGAATGAGTGGCTTACTTGCAGCACACATGCACGCGCTGTGTTGGAGCAGTGAATGTCTTTGAAAAAAGTGAATGTGGAGAAAATAGTGTACTCAGGGACCACCGTCCCTATGTACTCAAGGATCACCGTCCCTATGTACTCAGGGACCACCGTCCCTATGTACTCAAGGATCACCGTCCCTATGTACTCAGGGATCTCCGTCCCTATGTACTCAAGGATCGTCGTCCCTATGTACTCAAGGATCACCGTCCCTATGTACTCAGGGATCTCCGTCCCTATGTACTCAGGGATCACCGTCCCTATGTACTCAGGGATCGCCGTCCCTATGTACTCATGGATCACCGTCCCTATGTACTCAGGGATCACCGTCCCTTTGTACTCATGGATCACCGTCCCTATGTACTCAGGGATCACCGTCCCTATGTACTCAGGGATCGCCGTCCCTATGTACTCAGGGATCGACGTCCCTGAGACATCCTCCTATTGTGGTCACATGGACCACAAATCCGGTTGTGGTCTGGTTTTTCTAAGCGTTTTTGCGGTCACAAAACCGTTGATTTCTTCGCTACCTGCAGAGCAGCCTTTCTATAGGCGCGTTATCGATGGCCGCTATTAAATAGACTCTTGAATGTTTTAATCCATATTATTTCTTGGCGCAATATTATAATTTGGCGTAATCTTCAATTATTTTGTCTAAGTATTTAATTATTTTGTCTAAGTCTTTAATTGTTTTTTCGCAATCTTTAATTATTTTGTCTCAGTCTTTATATGTTTTGTCGTAGTCTTTAATTATTTTGTCGCAGTCTTTACTTATTTTGTCGCAGTCTTTAATTATTTTGTCTCAGTCTTTAATTGTTTTGTCGTAGTCTTTACTTATTTTGTCGCAGTCTTTACTTATTTTGTCTTAGTCTTTGATTGTTTTGTCTCAGTCTTTAATTGTTTTGTCGCAGTCTTTGATTGTTTTGTCTCAGTCTTTAATTATTTTGACGCAGTCTTCAATTATTTTGTCTCAGTCTTTAATTATTTTGTCTTAGTCTTTAATTGTTTTGTCTCAGTCTTTAATTGTATAATATAAACTAGGTACATCTAGAGAAAATTATCGTCTCTAGGCGACCATAATTTTCAGTGAGGTACAACCGAGCGGCTCAAACTGCTCTCGAATTTCATTTGGTCTACAAAAACTTGTGCAATTTTGCTAAATAAATGTTTTTTTGGTGCAGTTCATATATTTTTTATGTTCT